GTGGATGTGTTCACTTACACAGACAGGCTCTCACCTCCACAAAGAGCAATAATAGTACGGTAAGTGCAATGTTTTATATGTTTTTAATGTGCTTTTAATTTTAAACTTTAACTTAATGTATTTTAACCGTTTGTTGTTCAAAGGCAACATATGTAAAGCTCGCTTGAGTCCTGTTCGGGGCAGAGAAAGGCGGGATACAAATAGAGTAAATAATAACTTCCACCACACAGGAGACACCAATGGCCCTGCCTCCACTGACATCCATGGGTTCCTAGATTTTCTGTGTTTACTCCACCATGGACATCCCAGTGTTTCTTACACTCTCAATTGTGTGGAATTTGCATGACTCCACCCACTGCCTCTCCCTTAACCCTTTCCTATGTTGCACAGCAAGGAGAGGAATTGATCAGCAACTTAACAGGGGATTGGGGGCCTGATTTGACAGGATGGAAGTTGTAGTTCATTGTCGGTGTGGGTGACATTTGGCACTCAGAACCCCCACAACCAGGTTTGGGAGGAATTGATCTTGCTTTATAGGAGTTGTAGCTCAACTGCAACCATAGAGGACTGAATCAGCCAATGTTGGATCTGGACAAACTTGGGACACAGACCCAACATGGCCAACTTTAAATACAAGCAGGGTTTGGAGGTGATTGCCCTTGGCATATGGGAGTTGTAGTTCATCCTTATCTAAAGAAGACTGAACCCAGCCAATGTGGAATCTGGACCAAATTTGGCACACAGACCCAACATGGCCAGCTGTGCATACAGGCCTGGTTTAGGGAGGATTGACCCACAATTCTGGCAACTGTAGTTCACCCACATCGTTATGTATTTTCTCATGGGCGCATTCATAAAAAACAAAATCAGAGACTGGCTTTTTTCTAATAAATAGTATTACTAATTAACAAAATGATATTTCCTAACACCCCAAAACAAACAATGTCTTTCTAAAATAACTCGGACATTGCTGAGTACCCAAGCTAGTAGTAATTATTCTAATTATTCTGCATCCAAAAAAACCACCTTCTGTTCTCGTATCAATTTCACGGTTGCTACCAAGGACCTTGCCAGCTTAACCAACTCTGAGCTGGCAGTATGATGAAAAGGTAAGCTAAGGTTGAATCCCTGCTCAGCTGTGAAAACCCACTGGGCGACTCACACACTCTCAGCCTCAGGGGGAGGTCACGCAAACCCCCGATGAACAAATCCTGCCAAGAAAATCTCCTGAGAAGTTTCTCCTGATACGGTGGAAACAATATGTATACATTCCAATTCCACTTTATAAAAGTTGCCTTTGATGCAATCACTTTCCTCCTTCAAACCTTTTAAAAACCACAGGGTTTAAAAACCAAACACTGGGATGTCCGTGGTGGAGTAAACACAGAAAATCTAGGAACCCTGGGATGTCAATGAAGGGAGGGCCATTGGTGTAGCCTGTGTGGTGGAAGTTATTATTATTTACTCTAAACCATGCTTAAAACATCTAATCCAGTGCTTCCCAAACTGCAATTTTCCAGATATTTTGGACTTCCGCTCCCAGAATCCCTGATCACCAAAGGCTTCTGGGAGTTAAAGGCCCAGCGTTTGGGAATCACAGATCTACTTGGTAAAAGCACCCTTTTGAAAGGCAATGTGGTGACTTTTTCCTGCTTGGCAACAAGGAAGAAAGGTGTATATACACACCAAGGAGGCTCTCCAGCAATTTCCCTCCCCAGCAGCATTCAAAAAAGGGGAAAGCAAAGCAAAACATAAAGTGGGTAAGGTGTCCCTGCGAGGATGGGGCAGCAGACTAACATCCCTTTCTCCTACAATAGTGTTTTCCCTCTTCGATGGGAGCATCGCCTTGCTCAAGCCTGGCAACAGGAGGCGCTGCTGGGCCCCAATTTCAGGGGAAAAGAAAAAGGCCAGAAAGAAGGAAGCCAAGTCTCTTTCCAAGGCACCCCAGCCATCAGAACACACACAACACAAGGCCAGGCTTTTGTCAACTCCTGCAGGGTTTTACTGCACCTTGGAATGTGGCAAGGAGTAGAAACAATAATACAGGATGAAAACAAAAGATTTCCTTCCTCCCCATAACAAATAAAAGACCAAGGGAGAAGCAAGGGCTTCCTATTAACATAAATACAGTGGGAGGAGAAAGAAGCAAATAAGGAAGAGAAGGGGTCTAAGGCAGATCCCAAAGAATTGGGTCCATAGTCTCCCCACAATCTGACGTTCCAAGGGAAGCAGCCACTTTCCCAGCTCTCTTTCGCAAAGGGTTGAGGTGAGTGAGTCCTCTGCCCCCTTCCTCCAGCTTCTTCCGGCATTGGGGATGGGGGGTTGGAAATGAGGACGTCCCCTCTGTTGCGCAAAGTCTTTGGAAATAGCGTGGGCATTTTCCCCTTTCCAAAATAATTGGGAGGTTCCTTTTCCACCCTCTGGGGGGTGTATGCTAGCTTGTGGGAACAGCAATATGTGTCCCCTTCCTCTGGTGGCCCCCTCTGTACTAGGGACATCCTTCCAGCCTCCATTCTTTGGTCAGAAGGCACTGTGCTCATCCCAAAACATCAACATGAGTCCTCTACCCTTCCCTCCAGCCATATTATCATCAGGGGCAGCTTTCCCTTGCTAGGGATGAAGACGGCCCTGGTTGTGCCAGCGAGAGATACTTTAACCTCCACAAAACATGGTGGAGGACCACTTTTCTGTCTTCTGGAGGGGAGGGGTGTCCTATGAGGATACTAACACAAGGGGAACGATTGGATATGAACCCCTTTCTCACCCAAATTTTGGGAACGGAGGCCTCCCTTGCACTTTTCCTGACCCCAAAACATCACCATGAGTCCTCTATCCCCCTTTTATTGCATTGGAATCTGATTTCCATTGTTTGGGATGGAGATGGCCCTGGTTGTGCCAACAAGGGGTCCTTTCTCCTCCCAAAACTTTGTGGGGGGCTCCTTTCCTGTCCTCTGGAGGGGTGGGGTGTCCCATGAGGATGCTAACATGAGCGGGATGGCAAGATGTGACCCCTTTTTTCTCCAAAATGTTGCAAGGGGGGCCTTGCATTTAGGGCAGCCTTCCCAAGCAGGAAGGGCCTCTTCTTAACCCCAAAACATCAACATGAGTCCTCTACCCCTCTTTCCTCCAGCAATATCCCTCCTTTTATTGCATCAGGGGCTGCTTTCCATTGTTTGGGATGGAGATGGCCCTGACCAGTCCTGTCTCCTCCCCAAAACATTGTGGATGGGTCCTTCCCTGTCTTCTGGAGGGGTGAGGTGTCCTATGAGGATGCTAACACGAGAGGGTTGGCAAGATGTGACCCCTTGTCTCCCCAAAATCTAATGGGGGGCTACCTTGCTCCTAGGTCCCCTTTCCTGACCCCAAAACATCATGATGACTCCCCTATTCCACTGCCTTTGATAAGCTTTGGGGCCTGCTTTCCATTGTTTGGGATGGAGATGGCCCTGACTGGTCCTGTCTCCCCCTCCCAAACATTGTAGAGGGCTCCTTTTCTGTCTTTTGGAGGGGTGGGGTGTCCTATGAGGATGCTAACATGAGGGGGTTGGCAAGATGTGACCTCTTTTCTCCCCAAGCTCTAATGGGGGGCTCCCTTGCTCTTAGGTCCCCTTTCTTAACCTCAAACATCACCATGAGTCCTCTATCCGGCCCCCCTGTGATAGCTGTGGGGGCTGCTTTCCACATGGCCCTGGCCGGTCCTGTCTCCTCCCCAAAACATTGTGGAGGGCTCCTTTTCTGTCTTCTGGAGGGGTGGGGTGTCCTATGAAGATGCTAACACGACAGGTGTGGCAAGATGTGACGCCTTTTCTCCTCAAATTGTAGGGAGGAGGGGCTGTATTTAGGGCAGCCTTCCCAAGCAGGAAAGGCCTCTTCTTGACCCCAAAACATCACCCTGAGTCCTCTACCCCTCTTTCCTCCAGCCATTTCCCTCCTTTTATTGCATCAGGGGCTGCTTTCCATTGTTTGGGATGAAGATGGCCCTGTCCCCTCCCCAAAACATTGTAGAGGGCTCCTTCCCTGTCCTCTGGAGGGGTGGGGTGTCCTATGAGGATGCTAACACGAGGGGGTTGGCAAGATATGACCCCTTTTCTCCTCAAAATGTAGGGGGGGGGGCTTGTATTTAGGGCAGCCTTCCCAAGAAGGAAAGATCTCTTCTTGACCTCAAAAACATCAACATGAGTCCAATACCCCTCTTTCCTCCAGCCATATCCCTCCTTTTATTGCATTAGGGACTGCTTTTTTCCATTGTTTGGGATGGAGATGGCCCTGTCCCCTCCCCAAAACATTGTGGAGGGCTCCTTCCCTGTCTTCTGGAAGGATGGGGTGTCCTATGAGGATGCTAACACGAGGGGGGTGGCAAGATGTGACCCCTTTTCTCCCCAAACTCTAATGGGGGGGGGGGCTACCTTGCTCTTAGGTCCCCTTTCCTGACCCCAAAACATCACCATGACTCCCCTATTCCACCACCTTTGATAGTTTTGGGTCCTGCTTTCCATTTTTTGGGATGGAGATGGCCCTCCTGTCTCCGCCTCCCAAACATTGTGGAGGGCTCCTTTTCTGTCTTCTGGAGGGGTGGGGTGTCCTATGAGGATGCTAACACGATGGGGGTGGCAAGATGTGACCCCCTTTCTCCTCAAAATGTAGGGAGGGGGGGCTGTATTTAGGGCAGCCTTCCCAAGCAGGAAAGGCCTCTTCTTCACCCCAAAGCATCAACATGAGTACCCCTCTTTCCTCCAGCCATACCCCTCCTTTTATTGCATCAGGGGCTGCTTTCCATTGTTTGGGATAGAGATGGCCCTGGCCGGTCCTATATCCTCCCCAAAACATTCTGGAGGGCTCCTTTTCTGTCTTCTGGAGGGGTGAGGTGTCCTATGAGGATGCTAACACGAGGGAGGTGGCAAGACGTGACCCCTTTTCTCCTCAAAATGTAGGGAGGGGGGGCTGTATTTAGGGCAGCCTTCCCAAGCAGGAAAGGCCTCCTCTTGACCCCAAAACATCACCCCCCTTTTTTATTGCATCGGGGCCTCCTTTTCCTTGTTAGGGATAGAGATGGCGCTCACTCTGCCAATGAAGAGTCCTTCCTCCTTCCCCCAAACAACGCGGGAGGCTCTTTGGGTGTCGATCCGTGAGTCCGAAGCGCTCCCTTCGGCCTTCCCCGCCGGGCCGGGGGAGCCAGGGAGGGAGGCACGGCGGGTCCCTTGGTCCGTCCAGGTCGGGGGCGCAGGCTCAGTAGGCCGGCACGGGGTGGCTCTGAGGCGCCGCCTGCTGTCGGGGGAGGAGCTGGCAGCCGGAGTTGACGTGGCTGAGCACCTTCTGCTTGAGCTGCGCCACCTGCTGGCGGAGGAGGCTGGCGGTGGAGGCCAGCTCGGTGTTCTGGCTCTTGAGGCTCTTGACTTTCTCCTCCAGGCGGGAGATGCGCTCCAGCTTCCTCCTCCGGCACTTGGAGGCCGCGATGCGGTTCCGGAGCCGCTTCCGCTCCGCCTTGATGCGCTCCTGGGTGTCCATGTCGATGGGAGAGAGCGGGGGGCTGTCCGGGGAGAGCGGGAGCGCGGCGCCGCCTCCCCCGCCGAAGCTGGCCACTTCCGGCACGATCTGGGGCTCGTCCTTCAGCGGGGCCGGAAAGGGCGGGCCGTCAAAGGCTCCGAAGGGGCTCAAGTTGGCGTAGACCGGCGCCTGCTCCGGATTGGACGAGGCCGACGCAGCGCCCGGATGTTGCTGCTGCTGCTGCCCCTGGTGGTGTAAATGCTCCAAGGCCTTCACGAAGCCCGCCGCGAACTCTTGCTCCTCTGTCGCTTTGGGGAAAGGAAATCCTGAGGCACTTCCGGTCGCGCCGCCACCGCTTCCGCTCGCGCCCCCTGTCGGCGTGGTGGTGACCAACCCGTTGGATTGGATAATCAAGCGCTCGAGCTCCGGCGAGGCCAGCTTGAGCAGGCCCAAATCCGGCGAAGAGAGCAGCGAAGGGCCTGCTTCCGCTTCCCGGCTTGTTGACGGAAGAGGAAGAGCTCCCCCTGTGCTTGTCGTCCCCACAATATGGTTGTTCTCCGCTTTGTCCCCTTGCCCCTCGTCGTGGTAGAAGGGGATCTCCATCACCAGCTCCTTCCTTCCTGCCTGGCCGCCTCCGCGCGTCGAATGAGCTCACCCGCCTCACGCTCTCCCCCTTTTTATAAACTCCGCCACGCCCCCGATGAGCTCACCGCGCGCGTCTCTCATTGGCTAGGGGTGACGTCTCGCGGCTGCTCGCTTTCCATAAAGGGGCGGGCTTAAAACCCTTTCCTTCTTTGCCCCTCTGCTGCTCCTTCCATTGGCTGAGGGTGACGTCTCCCGGCGGCTCGCTTGGCATAAAGGGGCGGGGTTAAAGGGACACGCCCCCCTCCTCAACCCTTTGCTTCTTTGCCCTCCTCGAAGCAGGCGCCTCCCGTTGCCAAGGCGACGCGCTGCGTAAACGGCGGCAAACAGCGCGCGGCCTCTCGGGATGATGTCATAGGGGCGGGGCCTGCCTCCTCTGCCCAAGTTGAACTGAGAAAAGGATTTTCACTATATATATGTATGAATGTATGTGTGAGCGTCTATGTATATATAGAGAGTGATGTAATTTATAATATATATGTGTGTCTGCATGTATATAATATTGTATATTATGTATCATATATATAATATATATATTTAATATATATGTATATAATATTGTATATAATATATAATATATGTAATATATATATATATATTTTATACTGTGTATATATATAATGTATAATAATTCATTGAATATTGTCATGTAAATACCAATATATTTTATTTATTTTATATAGTTATGTAATTTATAATATATATATATGTGTCTGCATGTATATAATATTGTATATTATATATTATACAATATATATATTTAGTATTTTGTATATATATAATGTATAATAATTCATTGAAATAATATTGTAATGTAAATACCAATATATTCTATTTTATTTATTTTATATAGTTATGTAATTTATATTATATATGTGTGTCTGCATGTATATAATATTGTATATTATGTGTCATATAATATATATATATTTAATATTATATATATATATATATATAATATTGTGTGTCTATATACAATGTATAATAATTCATTGAAATAATATTGTAATGTAAATACCAATATATTCTATTTTATTTATTTTATATAAGTATGTAATTTATAATATCTATGTGTGTGCATGTATATAATATTGTATATTATATATAATATATTTAATATTGTGTGTATATATATAATGTATAATAACTCATTGAAGTAATATTGTCATGTAAATACCAATATATTCTATTTTATTTATTTTATATAGTTATGTAATTTAGAATATATATGTGTGTCTGCATGTATATAATATTGTATATTATGTATCATATATAATATATATATTTAATATATTTAATATATATAATATTGTGTCTATATATAATGTATAATAATTCATTGAAATAATATTGTCATGTAAATACCAATATATTCTATTTTATTTATTTTATATAGTTTTGTAATTTATAATATCTATGTGTGTGCATGTATATAATATTGTATATTATATATCATATAATATATATATATATATTTAATATTGTGTCTATATATAATGTATAATAATTCATTGAAATAATATTGTAATGTAAATACCAATGTTTTCTATTTTATTTATTTTATATAGTTATGTAATTTATAATATATATGTGTGTGTGGATGTATGTAATATTGTATATTATATATCATGTATATAATATATATATATTTAATATTGTGTATATATATATAATAAAGTATAATAATACATCAGAATAATATTGTAATGTAAATACCAATATATTCTTTTTTTTAATTTATTTACTCCATTTGTATACTGCCTTTCTCAACCAGAGGCGACTCAGGGTGGTTATACATGATATAAATATGTGTATATGATGTTATACATAATATTCTATATAATACATTGGATTATAGATAGATAGATAGATAGATATAAAATCTATGTAATACACATATTTCATATTGTGTAGATAAAGAATGTATATATAATATAATATAATATAATAATGATAATGTAATAACTCCAATATATTTATATAGATACAAAATTGTATATAATCTATAAATAATATATAATGTATATAGTACATTAAATATTATATAATTTATATATATAATACATATATATAATGTGGATGTATAATATGTATGTATAATGTAATATAATAATATATTGTGTATATATGTAATATTGTACATATTGTACATATAATGCATATATATTAATAATGTATATATAGTATGTACAATATTAAATATATATTTGATATTGCACATCTTTATAATAAAATATAATGTATAGAAATAATATTGTCATTTCATAGCAATATATTATATGTAATAATATGTATATATAATGTTATATCTAGTGTATATAATACATTAGATATTGTATATGTATATGTAATACATATATTTAATATTATGTATATGTGATATATATAATAGAATGGAGTATTTGTTTATTATTTATTTACTATATTTCTATACCACCATTCTCAGCCTGAGGGAACTCAGGGCGGTTTACAAAATGGCACAATTTGATGCCCACAATAATATAAAAACAGTTAAAACATTTAACAAAAATAAAATTCAATAAGTAATAAAACCGATAAAACATAGATCTTCCACGTCTCATTACAACAATAATAATAATAATATAGAAATAATAACATTGCAATGTAATAATACTAATATATGTAATATTTATAATGTTATAACATATTATATACACTACAACTTGTAATATAGCACAATATATTATATAATAATAATATGCTGGTAGTGTATTATATATATTGCGGTATAATAATATACTACAGTGTAATAATATGTGTAATAATATTATAATTGCATATTATACATTACATGGAATATTCCTAATAATATTGCAGTATACTACAATATGATATATAATGCTAATATTGTGTTATGCTAATAATATAATAAAATATACATTAATAATAATATTATGTAATACATTGTAGTACTAATCATAATATATAATAATATTGTAATATAATAATGATAATATATTAAATATAATACTACTTAGAATCATAGAGTTGGAAGACACCTCATGGGCCATCCAGTCCAACCCCCTGCCAAGAAGGAGGAAAATTGCATTCAAAGCACCCTTATCTTTATGATATATAATAATATATAATTATATACTGTTTTATTTTTGTATATTTATATATTTATATATTTATTTTTATATGTATATATTTTTATATTTTTATATTTTTATATTTTTATATTTATATTATATTTATATATATTATATTATATTTAGTATATTTATATATTTATATTTGTATATTTATATATTTATATTAGGAGCCCCCGGTGGCCCAGTGGGTTAAAGCACTGAGCTGCTGAGCTTGTTGATCGAAAGGTCGCAGGTTCGATTCCGGGGAGCGGCGTGAGCTTCCGCTGTCAGCCCTAGCTTCTGCCAACCTAGCAGTTCGAAAACATGCAAATGTGAGTAGATCAATAGGTACCGCTCCGGCGGGAAGGTAACGGCCTTCCATACAGTCATGCCGGCCACATGACCTTGGAGGTGTCTACGGACAACGCTGGCTCTTCGGCTTAGAAATGGAGATGAGCACCACACCCCAGAGTCAGACATGACTGGACTTAATGTCAGGGGACTACCTTTACCTACCTTTACCTTTATATATTTTAAGTTGTGATGTTTTTAATTGTGAGCTGCTTTAAGTCTCCGTATGGAGAAATAAATCGGGATACAAGCCTGTGGATGTCTACGAGGCTGGGTGGGCATCTGTCAAGAGGGATCAGGGGTATCTTCCTGCCTGGCACAATGGGTGAGACCTGATGGCCCTTGGGGTCTCTTCCCCATTCTACTATTCCATGACTGCAATCAGTGGTCAGCCCACATGGTGAGCATTCCCCAGCTTCTGTCCACAT